AGTCGAGACGTGACTGTCCACTTGATTGGTGAGTCTTTCTTGTATGTACTTATGATTAAATGTGAAAGTGTGGTTATTGCTTGTTCCTTGGTGAATTACTTGAAATTGTCGAGTATCTTCGATTGGTAAATTTGAATTGGGTATGTTATTCTCTGATAAAATGAATGTGTACTTTGTCGCACTCGTCCTAATGACTTTTGGAACTATTACTTGTTCAATTGTTACTGTTAACTGTGCATGACCGTTTTAGGTCTAAACCCCATCGACGGTCAGCCTATTTGAGTCAGCAACAGGCTCGGTCGAGTAGGTCGATAGTCCTTGAGTACTGTTTACTGGTATACTAGAGTATGACACACTGAGATGATCACCGAACACTGGAAGAAAGGAGAATAGTGATTACTGATTAACTGGGCAAATGGCACTGAATTATTGAACAGGACCAAATGTTACGTCTAGAAATGGATGGGAGCTACCTCTATGGCTTGTATTAATATTGTATCCTTTCACTGAACATGCTACTGGTCTTAAAATGCTATTGGTTATATATATAACATGCTTTGTGATTGCTATGGCTATTTTTGGATGATGGGTTCACTTGACACCTCACTAGGCATTAGCTCAACCCTTTTAGTTGTTTTCCTTATAGGAGTGAAAAACTGGTGTGAGAGAAGCCGATAACATAAGTTTGAACTTTGGAATTATCTTTTGGTGAATCTTTTGTACTTGACTTGAAGATATGTGGACACCTTATTTTGAGAAATGTATATAGATATTAAAGGATATAGTTAAGATAACTCTTGTTTTGGCTGTAAATATAAGCGTGAATGGATTGTTAGTAAATGGTTTAAATTAATGTTATCTCTGAAATTAATGTAAGTGAATGAATCATGACGAGAGTCAGGCAGGCGGTCGGCTAAACCCTACCCTAGGGAGAGGTGGGGTCGTCACATAAGAAAACTTAAGCCATCTTTTCTATAGGAAATAAATTTTTGTTAACCAAAGTGTTCTTAATTTCTTTTCTTTTCCATAATACTATGTTTCTTTTTTTTAAGAAAATCACTAAAATCATTCATTCTTTTTCTTAACAAGGCTTGTTCTTCTTTATTTTTTTCATAAAATTTTATTTTCTCATCCAATTTCCTTTTCAAATCATCCTTTTTACATACAAAATCAACTCCATTGTTTCGAAATCATCATTTTCTTTTCTTAATTTCTTAATTTCTTGAAAGAGTTTGGAATTTTTATTTAATAAAACATTTATTCTTAACATAAGATTCTTTCAAACTGTCATATAATTTAAACATAAATGCCTCAACGTCATCATCATCATTTTCATCATTAGAGCAAAAGTTAGAGAATATCTCATCATCCCCAATACCCATAATGCCATTTGAACCTTTTCATATTTTTTTCAATTTCATCATCTGAGTTGCAATCATTCCATGCGATTTGAAAATTGTTGAAGTTTTGTTTTCTTTCTTCATTTGCTTTGGTGAAATTTGAAATTTGTTTTTTGGTCCACCTCTTCTAAATCCTCTCTTATTATTGAAGAGTTTCTTGATGGTTTGGGTCATAAGAGCTAAATCACTTTTATCAAATTTCACATCTTCACCATTAAGTGAGAGTAGATCATCTTCTTCTTGAAAAGCCTTAAATACAATACCTCTCTTGGCACTAATTTCTTCTTCATAGTGCACTTTTTATTTTATTTTCAACTCATAAGAAGTTAGTGAGTTAACAAGAGGATCAATAGGTACAAAATTCAAATTTTTAACTTGCTCTATGGCTATAATCTTAGTTTTTCACTCCTTAGGCAATGTATTCAAGATTTTTCTATTTTTCTTATCTAAACAATATTCTTTACCAAGTAACTCATGATTTTTAATAATTTCAATAAATCTACAATACATCTTATCAACATTCTCATAAGGTTCCATTTTGAAAGATGCATATTTAACAACAAGTAAATATTTCTTTTGCTCTCTAATATATTGGCTGCTTTTATGTATTTCACACAATTTATTCCAAATTTCCTTATCTGATTTATAACCTTTAATTCTACTGGATTTATAAGCATCCAAAGCATTATCTATACATTCATGGCATTAGCATTCAAAGAAAGATATATTTTATCTTTTTTTTTTATCTAATTCTTGTCTAGTTTTTAATCTACTCAAATTTGTTATAATATCAATTATTCTAACATCATAAGGACCATCAATAATAATATACCAAATCTCAATGTCAATAGATTATAAGAAAACTTCTATTCTTTGTTTCTAACTACTAAAATGTGAGTCATTAAGCATAGGTAATCTAACAATAGATTGGCCCTTTAAAAATAAAGCATTATTTATTATCATCTTTGCTCCTAAACCGATTGAGTTTAATCTCTAGAGTACCAAAATTTAATACTACTTGTAAAACCCAAAACAACCTAAGAAGGGGGTAAATTAGGTTGATAAAAATTAAAGCAAGTAAAGGTCAAATTTTCATCCAATTATTCAACTTAAATAGTTTAAGTAAACAAGCACTCAAACCAACACAATAACAAGAGATATAAGCAAATTAAACCGCACAAACAAATAATAAAAAGAGAACAATAAAATAAAAGGACAAACCAATCAAACTTTCAAATTTCTTCCAAATTTGAAGTTGAATCAACCAAGTATCTTCGTCATTTGATGGTGATACTAACCAACTTGTACAAGTGAAGTGAAAGCTCACTCGTTCCTTACCCTAAAAATTTTAGTTGAATCAAAGAGTTTTACAACTCTTCTAGTTAACCACCAACTAATTACAATTGAAAGTTCATCCAAATAATTAAAAATTACTTTATAAGTGTGGATCACTTTCACTAAGGTTTTACTTCTCCTCTTTGAGATAACTCACAAACTCAACTTTCCCCATACCTATGCAATAATCAAAGTATATTTCTATTCAAATATCACACTTGAAAGCTTGTATTTTGTGTAGGCAAAAGTCTCTCTTCTTCTCATAATTTGGGGTATTTATAGGTGATGAAATTTTACCCTAAAAGTTACTTCAATAGTCAAAAAACTAGCTGTTGAAACTGTCAAATGCCTGGCAAGAATTCTTTGCATCTGAACCCTGTGTCCAACACTCGGTTGGACGTCCAATCCAAATGTTTTACATCTAATAGATGCGTCCAAAAGGAGGTCAGAATGTTCCAATCTTTACTCTCAATTTTTCGGACGACCAACAGATGAGATGCATCCGAAGCTTGAGTCTGACAGACACCGATATCTTCTATTTCTTCTTGATTTTGTTTCCTTCTTATTCTAATGAACTAAAAACCTGTCCTCACACATTTCTCACATAAAATCATTAGTTTAAATCATCATTTTATTTTGTTATTATCAAAACCAAGGATTGATCAATCTTAGCTTTTAGTTTAAATTAATAGTAATGTCGACTGCCATGATTTGTGAAGGTCTTTTGACTTTTTCGCTTAGAATAAATAGAAGATACATAACTAATAAAAAGATATAAAAACTTAAATGGTTTCAATAGAAACTTTGTTCAGATGCAAAGTCAACATAATTTTATTACAACATAATATTTTGCCAACACAACTCCCCATACCCTAAAAAAAAAAAGAAAAAAGAAAAAGAAAAAGAGAAACAACATTTAGATTTTGACTCCCCCTTTTCCTTCCCATACCTAATAATAAAATAGAAAGAAAGAAAGAAAGAAACACTATTTGATCTTTCACTTCCAATATTCAAATATACTTGTCCAAAATTGATACACGAAAAGTTTTGGATCTCTTATTCAAATACAATCCAATGGTCATTCCAGAAGTAAAGTTTTTGTTAGTTGCAAACTCCCTAGACCAACTTCCTAGGATCAAGTACATGTCACGATCAAGGTTTGTAAAATCGGAATCCTACGTAGGATCGATTTTAGCTTCACAGGATTGGATCGTAGGATCGGATCGTAGAATCGTAAGATCCCACCAAATGTTCCTAAATTTACTAAATTAATGAACTTAAATTCATATACCATTTTATACACCCTAAAAGATATCAAATAAATAAGTTACTTATAAACATATAGCATTTTTAACCTACTGTTTGACAAGTAATAAAGAAAAAGAACATAAACAGTTATAAATTATGATTTCAAGTCTTAAAATCAAATGCTTTATAGTTTACACAATAATAATTTGAAATATAGAATAATCATCAACCTCCACAAACACTAAAAAGTCGAAACTTCCAAAATTCAAGATTTTCAACATGAAAATTAACTACTAAAATGTCATCTGTCAAGTTTAAACAAACATGAAAAAATAAATAATAACAATTCATCATTTTCAAGCATCATAACAATTCAAAAATACATTCATTTATAACCAATCATTTTCATCAAATTCATCATCCCCATAATCCATATTATTAAAATCAGTATTTTCTCAATCATCTTCGCCATCCCAATTCTGTTGGGATCCATCTTCGGCATTATCTTCATCACCATCTAAATTAGTATCCAGATCATTAATTCCCATTTGAACATCATTTTCGGGAACCATATCAAGGTAATCATCATCTTGACGGTCAAATTCTGCCGAAGGCCCATCATCCTCATCAATAACATGAATCTCTTTCATTTTATTAACTTGTCTTCTACGGGCATGGGTTTCACGACCTTCATGATTATCTAAATAAATAAACAATAACGATAAAAGATACTAAAAATAAGAGAACCGGCAAAATACTACTATAAAATCTAAAAAGATGATAAAATTTATACTTAAGTTGGAACAAAGAAAGAAACTTACAAGCTCTCTGCACATTTCTTGTAAGTATTTCAATTTCATCATCTCCATTTCCCTCTTCATCTGAAGTGTCACATATGGGATTATTATCTAGAACTCGCAACCAGCTATTCTCTCTTGGAAGAGTTGGATTTTCTTTCTCTGTCACCCATTCATCATCTGAAGGCAAATCCTCAAAAGGAATTTCTTCCATAATACGTTACCTTTGTCTTTGTCTCTCTCTCAATTTCAAGTTGTACATCACAAATACAAGATCATTCATTCTTTTTTGACCCAAACGGTTTCTTCTCTTGGAGTGTACCTATTGAAATTAAAAGAATTTATACTATAAACTTAAATTCAAATGCTCAACAAAATATTATATTGAATGAAATATTATATTATATGAAAACGTTATTACCAATTCAAATGCACTCCAATTTCGCTCACATCCAGAAGAGCTACAAGTTAAAATGAGAACTCGAACGGCAAAATTTTTCAACTCTGGACATTCAACCTCATAAGATTTCCACCAATCAGCTGTAAAAAATTAAAATAAATAACAAATTAATAAAGATTTTAAAGGTAAAAAAACATGTAACTTTAAATAATAACTAACCAGGAGATTTCTTGTTTCTTGTTAGTACAGCATTCTCATGGCCAAATAATCCATGTGCATGTCGAAAATCATCTAATTGCAAATCAATTTTCACCCTTTCATTGGATTTGGGAACCATCTTCGCAATGCAATCATAAAGGCCACGTTTTACATTTGTATCGGACTGATAATTTGGACTATATTGAAATTGAGGATTCAAATAGTAACCCGCGGCATGTAAAGGATGACTCAATTGATCTTCCCATCTTTTATCAATGATGCTGATTCATATCTAGCATATAAACATGAGTTTAGTAAAAAAATAACTAAAGTAAAATCATTCTACTATCCAGCATAGAAATTAAAAATGAATTTATAATTAATATGGAAACTTATTTAAAATTACCTTTTTCGAACATTGTTCACATTTTGTTTGATTTCTTCTTTCGCCTGATCAATAGCTTTATAGAGAAAACCCATGGCAGGTTTTTCATCAGAATCCACCATCCTCAATACTTTGATGAGAGGTGAAGCTATCTTTAAACATAGCTCCACATATGACCAAAATTGTTGATTATCAAAAATGATGCTTTCAATTTTTTTCCCTTTCTTCTCCTAGCATATGTACTTATTTTCCACTTATCCGAAGAGAAAAAGGTAAACAAATTCCCTTTCAACTCGCTTAGATGTCTCATAGTCAAGTATGAAGTAGCAAAGCGAGTAACTCCAGGCCTAATCAACTCCTTGCCATTGGTGAACTCTTTCATCCAATTAATAACTGTACCCCATGAATAAATATATGTGACCACAGATTTCGCTTTTTGTATTGTGACTTTGTGGAGCGAATCAAACTTTTGAAAATCTTCCAACATCAGATCAATGCAATAAGCAGCACAAGGGGTCCAAAACAATCTTTTTCTCTTTTCCATCAATATTTTTCCAGTTGCCTTATAATTAGAAGCATTATCGGTGATGACCTGCACAACATTATCCTCTCCAATTTTTTCCACAATACCATCTAACAATTCAAATAACTTTTGAGCTATCTTTGAAATATCAGTGGTGTCTATAGAAGATAAGAACACAGTACCAGCTCGACTATTCACAAGAAAATTGTTCATTGTTCTCTTTCTTTGATCAGACCACCCATCGGACATAATAGTACAACCAATTTTTTTCCACCCTATTTTGTAGGTATTGACCAAGTTCAATGTCTCTTTCATCTCTTTTTTCAAAAATGTCACTCTCATTTCATGGTACGAAGGTGGTTTAAGCCCTTTTCCATATTCTCTATATTTTTTAATCATTAAAGGAAACAAAGGGTTATTTACAGCATTAAATGGAATGACACTTGTATAAAACCACCTAGCCATGATTTGATAAATGATAAGTTGCATTTTAGTGGGTATTTTGGGCATTATTGCATAATTAATTGACTAAATATTTTCGTTAATTGGGTGGATTCTACTGATATTTTGTTTTGGTGCTAATTGCAGGAATGGTTGCTGAAAAGTGCTTAAATTCAACGTTTAGAAGATTCATCGGACGTGGGGCCCGCTTGAGAAGCTGAAGAAACCTAATTGTAATAGATTTTATTTTAATATGTTTCTAGGGAGTCTGGCTGCAATTTTGGACAAGTAACAATTTTCGGCTATTGGGGGTATTATTTATCTCTCGCGTGGCTTAGGTTAGGGGGTGGTTTTTTTTTCCTTTGCTTTTAGTTTTTTCTCGGCTCTGGAAGTAGAAGGAGAGAGCCGCAGCTTGTAAGGGAGGAAAGGAGCAGAGACAACAAGCCCCCATTATTGACTCTGTATTGGCTTTTTGATTTCTTTTCGATTGACTCAGCAAAGACTTTTGTTCAATTGCATTGACCAAAATTAGACATCAAGAGAAAGCTCTTCTCGTATGTGTGTGAACAAATAGGACAGAAAGCCACTCGAACCGCCATTATTGACCTCTTGGACTTTGTCCTTGAGTTTGACCGAGAATCAAGCAATTGGGAACACTTTTCTCTTGTACGTCATTTGCCTAGCAATCAGGAGAAGAAACCAAGAGCCGCCGAAATCCAAATTTCTTGCTCTTGTCTTCTGCTCTTGACCAAAAAGTGAAAGGTCGGATACGGTGACTTCGCCCGATTTTACACGCGTGATGTGTCCTTCATTAATGGAGGGCTAATTCGCTAATTCTAGTCAAGGGGACAACTGACGATTTGGTTCAGCAATTACTGTGAGATCGAATTTATTTTAACTATTTCCTCCATTTATTAATATTTATATATTTCCTGTTTCTAATTGTTATAGCCTTATGTATGATTGATTAGTGCGCAATAATTAATTGTCTATATAGGCTATTTTGCTATATAGGGGTAATTGAATCCGTAATTGTTCGTTATCTCTATTCCAGTAGCAACTGACATAATTGGGTTTGTGTCAGGGGAATATTTGATCTGGCTTGAATAAACCCTCGTAGCGTGTTTGTTAGTCAGGATTGGGCCTTTCTAATTAATAATGCAATCTGGAAATTAAATCCTACGGTCGTACCTAGGGTTGTTTTTGGATTAGAGAAATAGCTAACGGTCGTACCTTAGCTATCGATAAATTACGGAAGGGTTGGTTGTTTAGCGCGTGCGAGACAACTATAACCAATCTATTAGTAAATGTTGGAATTACCTCTGAATCAATGATCAGTTGCATGAACCATTTCTGAAGTGTACCCTTGGCTAGAGTATTCTCCTAGTTATTTCTCTTAATCAATTATTTTCTGCGTTTAATTTGTCTTGTTGGCATTTGATACCAAAACCCCCTATTAATCTGGATTTGAAAAGAAACAAAATATCTTGCTAGTTCCTGAGGAGACGACCCTACTTACCACTGTCTACTAGTTAGGGAATTTAGTTAAATAATTAATTAGGGTATATCGGATTAAGCAAACTCTTCGGGAACAGGGTGAATCAAGTAACCCATTGCACACCTAGAGTCCCTGCTCCAGTACTCGAATTGATTACTGACTGTTCCAGGTGGTAGTTAGGATTTATTTATTTATTTATTATTATTGCGCAGGTTCGGCACCTGTCAATTTTTGGCGCCGTTGCCGGGGACTGGCATCTGAATTATTCGTTTCTTTTTGAATTCAGTTTTTTTTTTATTATTATTTTATTTTTCTTGGTATTTTTGCTAGTTTATGCCCCGTTCCTCTCGCACAGGTGAATTGATATACGATCCTGAGGTTGAGAAGGCAGCGCGTAGGCGAAGACAAGAAACCAAGAGACGAAAAGAAGGGCACTTATCTTTTGCAAACGAGTCAGTAGAAAACGAATTGAGCATGGCCAACACCCAGACATTAAGGGAGCTGGCTACCCCAGACTTGACTCATCAGCCCTTGTGCATCACGTTCCCAACCCTGGCTGAAAATACTTCTTTCGAGCTGAAATCGGGATTGATTCAGCTCCTACCTTCGTTCCATGGTCTTTCTGGTGAAGAACCCCACAAACATGTCAAGGAATTCGAAGTAGTTTGCTCTAGCATGAAACCTCCTGGGGTCACAGAGGAGCAAATAAGACTGAGAGCTTTCCCTTTCTCTCTCAAGGATGCAGCGAAGGATTGGTTATACTACCTGCCTGAGCTTTCCCTTTCTCTCTCAAGGATGCAGCGAAGGATTGGTTATACTACCTGCCTGCAGGTAGTATCACCACGTGGGCACAATTGAAAAAGAAATTCCTGGAGAAATTTTTTCCCGCGTCCCGGGCTACAAGTTTGAGGAAGGAGATTTGCAGCATCAAGCAGTACTCCGGGGAGTCATTGTACGATTTTTGGGAAAGGTTCAACAAGTTGTGCGCTAGATGCCCACAGCATCAGATTAGTGAGCAACTGTTAATCCAGTACTTCTATGAGGGACTCCAGTCAACTGACAGGAGTATTATTGACGCTGCGAGTGGAGGAGCCCTGGCGAACAAGACACCGAGGGAAGCATGGGATCTTATTGAAGCCATGGCAGAAAACTCTCAGCAGTTCGGTTTCCGTGAGAGCACTCCTACCCGTAGAGTCAATGAGGCAGAGACATCATCCATCCAGCAGCAACTGTCGGAGTTGACGTCTGCTGTCAGGCAATTGGCCATGAGAGACACACCGCGAGCAAAGGTGTGTGGAATCTGTACTAGCATGGATCACTGCACGGATTCGTGCCCCATTCTGCAAGAGGACGGGGCGGAACAGGTAAATATGGCCGGAGGCGTGCCCGCGCCCCGCAGGCAGTACGACCCGTATTCCAACACATATAACCCCGGTTGGAGAGACCATCCCAATTTCAGTTACGGGAACAGACAACAAGGTTCATTCCCGAATCGTCCACCAGGATTCCACCAGCCTTGGCAACCAAAATCTCAACCCTCATCCTCCAATTCAGGAAACTCCTTGGAGGACCTAGTCAAAAGCCTGGCCACAACTACTACTCAGATTCATCAGGAGATCAAAGCGGACAAGAAGGACCAAGAAGCTCGGATAAGCCAACTGGCAACCGCTATTAACCGTTTGGAGTCCCACGTTTTTGGGAAACTGCCATCGCAGCCCGAGGTGAATCCCAAGAATGTAAGTGCCATGACGCTGAGGAGTGGCAAGGAGCTGGAAGGGCCTAAAGTGAAAACTTCAAAAAGCAAAAGCGAGGAGGAGATAGAAAAGGAAATTGAGGAGGAAGGACGTGTTCATGAGAATCCTAAGGTAATTTCCACTTCTCCACTCGCTATTAGCTCTAACTTACCCCCTTTTCCTTGCAGGTTGGAAAAGACAAAGAAGGTAGAGAAGGAAAAAGAGCTCTTGGATGTGTTTCGGAAAGTGGAGATCAACATTCCCCTGTTGGATGCAATCAAGCAGATACCGAAGTATGCTAAATTTTTGAAGGACTTGTGCACCCACAAGAGGAAGCTAAGGGGAGATGAACGAGTGGCGGTGGGAGAAAACGTGTCAGCTATACTCCAGAGAAAACTCCCACCAAAATGTGGAGACCCAGGTATGTTCACCATTCCCTGCAAGATAGGAGGTACTCCAATTAGGAAAGCAATGTTGGATTTGGGGGCGTCAATTAATGTTATGCCGAAGACAATTTATGCTTCTCTAAATCTTGGCCCGTTAAAAGGCACAGGCATTATAATCCAACTTGCAGACCGTACCAATGCTTACCCAGAAGGGGTAGTTGAAGATGTTTTGGTACAGGTCAATGAGTTAGTTTTTCCTGCAGAT